AATGGATAGCACGACAATCGCACCGCATTCGGAGGCAAAGAAAAGTCGGAAAAGGGAAGTCAGAGCTACAACACGGGTACCCGTGTTGCACAACACGGCCCGTGTCATGGAGGACACGGTTGGCAGACACGAGTAGACCAAAGCAGAAGAAAAGAAGACTCAGACTTACAACACGGGTGCTCGTGTCATGCAACACGGCCCGTGTTGCAGCCCTTGAAGATGAGACACGCCCTGAAGAAGTCAGCAGCCTGACACGGCCACCCGTGTTGTACAACACGGCCCGTGTCAGGGCCACTGAAAGTGAAATTTTTATGTTTTCTGATTTTTTGCTGTCAGACCTATTTCGAAGGGCATTTGAGACATTTCGCGATGTAATTTAAATTTAGATATAAGATGCACATTTTAGAAAGGAGAAGAGACTTTTGAACTGATATTAGGATTGACAACTGAGAGGAGAGTCGGCTGGAAACAGAGGATCGATCAAAAGCGGAAGCAATTGATGATCCAAGGATTTCAACTTGCATTGTAATGATCTTCTCCTTTTCATTTCTAATTGCTTTTATGTTTACCAAGAACATGAGCAGCTAAACCCCAAGTTGTTAGGGGGTGGTCCTAAGTGCGATGTAATGACTTTTGTTTAATGATTCTATGAGAACTATGTTATTACCTTTATATATTTTATTTTGCATTAATCTTAATCGTATTCATATTGGAAAGTAGAATTCGAATCGTGCTTAGGCTTTAGTCTGGAAAGTCAACCTAACACTTCTGCAAAATAGTGTCACGGTCGATATTGCTTAGGAATGAGGATATCCCGTATCACGTATTTTATGGTCGGAACTATTGCTTGATGCTTTTCATGGACACTGAGGAATTAGTGTACAGGAAAATCATGAAAGGGTTTTCATTAAGGAATTAAGACAACTAAAGTGGCCAACTGATAAATTAAAGTTAATAACTAGTATAGCAGAATAATCATACAAGGTCCTTACTCGCATCGTCTCCACTCCCCTAACACTGTTCTTAGATTGATTCATAAGTCCTTATTTACTTGTTATATTACTCTGCTACCAAACAAACCACTAGACCTTTTGTTCATTTGAATCCTAAAAATTCCGTTAATTACTACGCAGTCCTCGAGATCGATACTTGGGACTTTTCCCTTATTACTACAATTGGTAAAAATAGTACACTTGCTATTTTCCCGATCACCTTCCAACTCCCTTGTGGCATGCTGACGCCTACCCTCTTCGACGTGACAACCATCACTGGCCTTTCTCCTCTGAGCAAAAATTTCGACCCAATACTTCCAACTAAGAATATCTTCTCTTTCAACCGTGCCAGTCTTAAGTCCTACATCGAAGACCACCATGTCAAGAACTCGATTGAGGTCTTCGACATGGAACACATTGCCTTCTTAACCCACTGGCTTTCTTACTACGTGTTATGCCCTAACTCTTTTCAAATAGCTAAGAGTTATATCAGCTTGGCGACCTAGATACACAAAGGTCGACAGGTTTTTCTAGGGAAACTTTTGCTGGCGCCACTCTACTCTACCATTCTTTGGGAATTGCTTCTATGAAGCTTAAACACTCATCAAGAAGTTCCCAATAAGTTCATCTTTATGAAATACATTAATCTGTTTGTCGAAACCACTACCTTAGTTTTATCCATGGCTCCCTTCGTGAATCGATGCTTTGGCTCTAAATTATCCTACCCTGTCATAAGCCACATTACAACCTATAAAAGACCTCATAAGTGTGTGTTTAAATATGACTTTGATTGATTCAATTATAAAACTTTTGAACTCATTGTTAAATGCTTTTGTATGTTGATTGAGTGATTACCATGTCAAATTAAGTGCATCATTGTGAGATGAGAGACATGTTGAGTATTTGTATGTCGGAAGAACTTTTCTGAATTAATTGAATCGAAGTAAGGAACTGAAGTGTTGATAAGAAAATTGGGACATTCATTGGTAAGGGTAAGCATTTTAATTCTGATGAAATGTTCAATGTGAAAATTTGTTACTTAAGTACAAGCAACAATTCAAGTTTGGGGTTGTGACGACAATCGTCATTATGTGATTTTTATGAAGCAATTCAGATGAGTTTGAAAGAATAATGACCAAAAGCCCTGTAAAAGTATATAGTATCAAGCAAAAAGCATGGGCAAGGAGGAAACCAAGACTTAGTGAAAATTATGAAGAAAAATAGTGTTTTGCTTCTGCAATTCTTGCGCTCGCGATGCATCTCATCACGACGCAATAAGGTTTGCATTGCGGCGCGATGAGACGCTTTTGTCTGAAACACTTTTTGCTATTTAGAGGGCTGTTTGGCTACTTTTTTAAGGGTTCTGAATTTTAGAGAGAATGTGACGGCTAAGGACATTCAAGGGGCGATTTTGGAGCAATTAGAGTCATTTTAGAGCAATTTTCCATAGATTTTGATGATGAATACTTCTTCACTCTTGGTATTTGCTAATCTATCAATTATTAGCTAAATTTCTCTAGATTAGGTCTTTTTGAGATGAACCTTGTTTTCACTCTGTTGGATCATATGTCTGTTTGAGAATTGTTTAGTACTTTTAATGTTATTATCTTACTTAAATTGTTCTTGTATTTAATGCTTTTTGTGGCTTACAAACATACTAATCGATTTAGATAATTAGGAATTTTTAACCGTTAGTATGATTACCTAAACTAGATAATTTATTCAACTTTGTAATTAACTAAGGATAGGTAATTAAAAGTTGTTACTTATGAATTAACGCACTTAGAATGCCTAATTTAGCTTTGAATTGACCTAAGGAATTAGAGTATTATCATATAAATTAGTGAGTTGCACACCAAGGAATTGAGTGCAATAGTCTTGTTAATTCGCAGTGAGATGATAACTTAATTGAAACTCAACATATACACAGTTCATCAACATGTAAAATAAGGTGATTAAAAAATAAAGACCTAATATCTTTTCTCGCATTGAATTTAATCTTATAATTTCTTGTTTTAGAACCTCTTTTCTAATGAAACCCCCTTTAATTATTTTCAATCACACATAATTTTCTTGTTAAATTACATTCCTTGTGGAGACGATTTTTTTACTTGGACGTTATCGATACAATTGCCAAGAGGTATCAAGTAATTTCAGCCTTGCTATTACTCCCATGGAAACATAAATCCATTTGAAGAGTTACTTAAATGATGAACTAGTAGATGGAACATTTGGTTCACGAAGTTCTCTATACAACACTAGACATGATATTTGCTATAGTTCGAGCTTGGTAAAAAGATACATGGATGAACAAAGATCATGCCATTTACTTGCAGTTAAAAGAATCTCCATATACATCAAAGACATTGCAAAGCATGAAATACTCATGCCAAATCAAAATAACTCAAGAAGGAAGACACATGCACATGTCAATTCTCGTTTAGATTGGGGAGGGGATCAATAAGATATGAAAAGTACAGTTGGTTACATGTTCATGATTGGAGAATGTTCAATCTCATAGATCTCAAAGAAATAAGGGATACTAGCACTATCATCTTTTGAAGCAGAGTATGTGGCAACCTCTTATGCAGCATGCCATACATTGTGGATTGAAATGTTGTTGGAGTGTTAAATGTTTGTGAATTTTTGAAGATCAAGCGATTAGTTGACGATAAATCAACAATTAATCTAGCAAATCATCCAATGATCCATAGAAGGCGCAAGCGAGAAAATATCATTTTCTAAGAGACAAAGTTGACGAAAAGATAAAGGTTGAATATTGCAAGACTCAGATATAACTTGTAGATATTTTAACGCAGACATTTAAAAAAGCAAAAATTAGAAGTCTCAAATAATTAATGAAGATGAAAAAGTTAATTGATATAAATTCGAAAGAATATTGACAATGTAATTAAGTTATAGGAGTTGTTTGATTGTGTTGCAAGTAAGTGAATTACAACTCAAATAAACTGTCACTGTTTGTCACAACTTAAAATTTTTGAATTTTGATTGGTTAGTTAGTTTTCTAACGATATATACTCTCTCCATTCATTATAATCCACTAAAATCAATTGAAAAAAAAACACTCATTTCACTCCAATTTCATTATATATATATATATATATATATATATATATATATATATATATATATATATATATATATATATATATATATATATATATATATATATATATATATATATATATATATATATATATATATATATATATATATATATATATATATATATATATATATATATATATATATATATATATATATATATATATATATATATATATATATATATATATATATATATATATATATATATATATATATATATATATATATATATATATATATATATATATATATATATATATATATATATATATATATATATATATATATATATATATATATATATATATATATATATATATATATATATATATATATATATATATATATATATATATATATATATATATATATATATATATATATATATATATATATATATATATATATATATATATATATATATATATATATATATATATATATATATATATATATATATATATATATATATATATATATATATATATATATACTCTTTTATGTCTATTATTCTATGAAAAAATTATCCTAACACAAATATTTTTTTAATTATTGTGACTTTCATATCATAATCAATGGTAACTTAGGCGAGTTTATTGTTTGTGAATGTTTGGTTAAGTCTTTGTGATTGAAAAGATAATTTAAATAAATAGACACAAAATGTAAAGGTAAAACATAGAGGAAAATTAAAGATGAAAAATGTAAATGTGTTGAATGTAAATTTACACTAAATTTAAATCAACTTGAAATAAGAGAAAGTTTTAAAATGATAGTATAGAATAGATTTCACCAAATAGATCACATAAAATATAAGTGTGAAAATTAAAAAAAGAAAACTACTATAAAGTAAAGAAATACAAATTATGATTAAATTATTGACTAAGTTCTCCTATGAAACCTCAAGATAGGAAGAATCAGTATTAGCAATAGGAATGCTATTGATCCAAGCAGAGACAGAATAATGGAGGCCGCCACTTGATGACAAAACTTATCAAACACATCACACACTTTGTTCCATCTTACATGAGAGTTTCCGTTGTAGCCAAGAAGACCAGTTGCGGCGGCGGCACCGTTGCCAGAAAATAGCAAAGCCACCATCAACGTGTCAAGAATAGTGATCAATGTTCCTAATAACTCTTTTCTTTTACCTCTATTTAAAAAGGTGAGCAACATAGAGATGGCTCCATATGCACATGCTATTGCATTTACCACCATAAAGTAGCTTCAACATGAAAACGAAAAAGGTTAGCCACAGTTTTATACAATTCTATACAATAATTAGGAAGAGAATAATAAGAACTTACACAAAAGCTGAGAGGTAATGCCATTTAGCAGAAACAGGAACATTGAAAGGAGGCAAAGAGTCAACAATCTTGATAGGAACAATTTTGGTTTGCTTGTCGATCCCAATAACTATAGCAGCAGCAAGGGTGAGAACAACGGCCAAAAGTCTAAGAATCAATTCACAAGAACCACCCTTAGCCTTAGGAGGTTTTCTCCCTTCTATACCGGTAAAGATAGCCTTACCCTGATCCTCCATTGTAACAAGAACACAAACCTTAGTTATGTTGAGGTGGGTTTCACAGAAAAAGCTTAGTGTATGTCTTAAATAGGGATGGAGCTTTGAAATATGGGAAGTTTGTATTAAATATGAAAGCCGCAGATATTGTTGACGAATATGTTATGTGTGTGTTTAGACGGTGATTTTTGTAAAAATACAAATTATGTTTTTAAATGAATTTAATTTCTTAAATAGGAAAGAATAGTCCATACCTACTTACTGACTGCATTAAGCATTTTAGTCGGTTTTGCAGTTTTTAGTAGGTTCGCTGTTTGTTTACAATTTGGGGTTTTTAAAAATGTCAATAATTTTGCAAGTAGTTTCTTTTTTTCATTTCAGTATATATCATTTTTCTAAGTTTTTCTTAAATTATCCTAATTTTGAGTATTAGAGGAAAAAAAATATCTAGGAAGAAACACGTCTGGTTCATGCTAACTTTTTTTTTTCTTTTAATTTATTTATATATGTGTTGCGAAATAATAATGTTTAATAGCATTTCAACAAGAATGATTTTTAGCAAGGACCGTCGAAAAAGCTATGTCAAGCATGAAAATGTGAACTTGGCATTTTTTTTCCTACTATGAGATATGACATTTTCAGGAATTCGATAAAGACCGATGGTTGACCGTAGTAGCAGTTAGAGCGAAACAATAATATTAAATTGAGTAACTTTTTTTATAGTTTTATTCATGTATTAAAGACACGTGAAAACAAGTTAGAAGGGTGAAAACCATGCAACGCGATATATGAATTTTAGTGTTAGGATTGAGGGTTGCAATATCATTACAAAAACTCCAAAAAAAACTCAAAGTATCCAAATAAGAGTGAGAAACGAGTCAAGGATCAAACATGTCATGTTCACCATTCTTTATATATTTAAGCAAAGTCTTTTCTTACTTTTTACTTTTATTTTCTACCAAATTATTTGTCTTTCTACCTTACATTTTACAAGAATCTCGACACGGTCAAAATTCCTTACTTTTATTTATAACTTATTTTCTTATAAGACTAATGCATATTTCTATTTTTACAACAAACAATCAAACACTCTTTTAAGAATATATGCACAATATGTCCTAGGATTTTCTTGCAAATAACATTTCTAAAGACTAGCGATTGTTTGTCAAAAATACGGATAAACAAATTGGCACGTCCAGTGGGACATTTGTGCGAAAATTTTAAATTTATAATTATTGTGTTTTTTTTACAAAATGTTCTTCATGCATGAAATGTTCTTGGTAATTGTGTGCATATGCGTTTAAGAATTGGAAAAACTTTGCCTAAGATGACACACCCATCTACGGATAATCCTACTTATAACTCACATAATAATTCTCAAAATGCAGTAGAACAACTAGTCAGATCGACAGCTGGAGATTCAGTTGATTTAACTTCTGTTAGAACCACTGGTCCCGTGGCGTCATCGACACCAACTTTGTCAACACCGACACAAGGGGCAATTCCCCCACCACAACCAAGGAATCTCATATTTAATCCCACTGTCGTGAGACCAACTCTGAGAGACCCTAGGTTACTGTTTCTTCCAAGTTATTCACTTCCTATGAGCAACAAAGAATACTCATATGGTATGCCAACAACGATGATAGCAGGCCATCAGACTAATGCGTCGACTTATGTAGATAACGCAATGGTTGTTGTGCCACCATATAACCCCTATCTTGCCTCAAGTCAGATAATAAATAACCCCAGTCAAACGGCGCCGCTACCAGGAGGATTAAATTATGCTCCTCAAGTGAAGTCGACATTGAATACGATATCCCTAATTATTGAGGCAACAAATGGACGAAAGTAACCACAAAATGGTTAACATGTTAACCCAACAGATTCGTATGGTGCTCAATCCCCTAATTCAGAACACCAACCAAAGCTATGAACTATTAGCTAATTAGATGGGTCGAATAGCCGATTTATTCGACGCTCCTCAGATCCATGTGAGGCCAACTCCTCAAATCTCAAATGTCAGGCAAGTAGAGACACCCGACAATGGGCAAGCCCTACCAACCAATGGTACCAACAAGTGGGACTTCGATCCACAAAACTTCTTATACATAGAGAGAAAGAGGAATAGATAAGCCAAAATAGCCCAAGCCCAAAACTTCAAAAATGACCGTATCTCTCAATTGATCGAAAGTGGCATTTTGGGGGGATAATTTGTTAGCATGGGATTTCAACATCATGAACTTGACACGAGGAAAAAGGTTTCAGAAAGTACTTAATGAAATAATGATGTTTGATAGCGTTTTGATAGGAATGATCTTTAGCCTAGGGCGTCGAAAAAGCTATGTCAAGCTTGAAAATGGGAACTTAGCATATTTTTTCAGACTATGAGAGATGACATTCTCAGGGATTCGACAAAGACTAATGGTCGACTGTAGCAGGTGGAGTGAAATGATGAAATCATATTACGTAACTCTTTTTTGATCTTATCCATGCATTGAGGACACATGGAAGCAAGCTAGAAGAGTGAAAACCATGCAACGAGATACGTGCGACTGCTAGAAATAGAGCTATCGTAGGCAATTATTTATGTATTAGTATATATAAGGATTCTAGTGTTAGGTTTTAAGGTGGGAATGCCATTACAAACATTCCAAAAAAACTCAAAATACCTAAACAAAAGTGAAAAACGAGTAGGTGAACAAACATGTACGATCTGCGCAATATTCTTTAGATATTTAAGTAAATATTTTTTTACTTTTCACTTTCTTTTATTTGTCTTTCTACCTTACATTTTACACAATTGAAATACAATTTATTTTCTTTTACTTTCTTATAAGGCTAAGATCTATTTCTATTTTTATAACAAATAACCAAATACTCTTCTAAAATTTTATAGACAATATGTCATAAAATTTCCTAATCAATCCTACGAGTAACATTTCTAAAGACCATCTATCATGGATTATTTACCAAAAAGTACAGGTATACAATATGTTATTAGTTACAATTATAAAATAGGCATATTCATTTTTTGTTGTTGTATCAAACCCCATCGTTATTCTGATATATCAAGGCGGTGATGGTTAAATTGAAGCTTGATTCGATCTTTTTGATGCATTTCAATTATTTAGAAACATATCAAAGAATTTGTTGCACTTCATATTATTAGACCATTTCATTTATTTAAAAACATATTAAAGAATTCTGTTAAGTTAGTAATTAGTACACAAAAGTTATACACTACAAATAACCGCATAACCGAAAATTTTACTAAATAGAGCGGATAAGGACTCCAATTTTTCTTATATATTTATTATCTTTTCATTCAATTTTTAAATTTCTATCTCATTTCTTTTTTTCACATTTTTTTATTTTTATTTTAATATTTGTTTTTACTTATTCATTTATTATCACTAAAAATATTTTTAATATATTTTTTAATTTTAATAAAATAACACGATGTATTTATCTCATAGATCACTATCAACATAACATATATTTTATTTTAATCAATCATTATCTTAATTTAAGAGAATTTTTTTTAATTTTTTAATATTATTTTTTAATTTTTTATCTCATGATTTTTTTATATAATTATTTAATACAATTAAATTTATATCATTATTGTTCATTTTATAATTAAGTAAATCATATTAAATTTTACATTTATATATAAATACATTTTTATCGCATTAAATAATTTTTTTATCTTAAAGGTCATTATCGCATCAAAATTTTCTTTTTAGTCTTTCTTTATCTCACGAGTCATTTTTTCATCATTATTTAATACAATTGAAATTGTATAATTATTCTTCATTTTACAATTAAACAATTAATTTCAATTTTATATCTATATATAAATATATTTTATATTGTATCAAATAAATTGTTTATTTTCCGGATTACTATAAACGCAATGCATATTTTATTTTAATAAAAAATATCTTAATTTAAAAGATAAAATATTTATTTTTAAATATTAAATATTCTTTTTTTTTCTTCATCTCACGAATTTTTTTTCTTTATATTTTAATTTAATTAAATTTACATAATCATTATTCATTTTAAAATTAATAGTTAAATTTAAATATATATATATATATATATATATATATATATATATATATATATATATATATATATATATATATATATATATATATATATTATATCATATCAAATTTACATATATATATTTAAATATATTTTATGCCATATCAAATAATTTTACCCATGCAACAATACGGATATCTTATTAATTATAAGAAGAAAAAAAAGTTTTTAATGTTATTTATACACTTATATCTATATAAAGGATTGATCATTTTAATGTGTAATAGAACCGTCTCAATTTTTTTGAAAATTCTATATAAATTATTTGAAGTTTAATTATAGCAAAATAATTATAAGTTTTATTTAACTATTGTTTAATTATTATAAATATTCTATAAAATTTTATTTAACCACAAATTAACTGCTACATATTTAAGACTCTCTATAGTAGTTTATATTGCTCGCCTTAAAGACGATCTTCTTTGAGATTGAATATTTATTGTTGAGAAATAGCCCAAGTTGGTTTAAAAGAATAAAATCATTATACATATCATTTTGTTTTAGCCCAAAATAAATAAATGGTTAACGTGGAATGCATATAATCGATACTAGAGTTGTAGAGCGCAAGTTGTGAACAAGTAATTAATAGACGATAGATATGGAGTCTGCATGCAACTGCCAACTGACAATGTGTATGCTGCCCATTGCTTGATAAACTCTCTTACTTGCTAACCATATAGTCAAGGATTGCATTCAATTCACATTTCTTTATCTCTAAACTTCTATTTTATTTGAACATTTTGCTCAATTTCTATGGACAAATCAAGAGATAAAATACTATTTTAAGCATTTATTTTCTTTATAACCATTAATTAGCGGTGGGTGTGAACTCAAATTTCTCACTAAATGTCAATCTATGAAGAAATTTTTTCTGTTTTACTTGTATACTTCATCCATGGAAATAT